TACCGTGCCAATGGGCGCTGGAATGACCAACAGAACCTTTCACTCCTTTCACTCACAACAATGAGCAACAAAACCTCTGCGAAACTTGCTATAACTTGCTCACACAGCGGCGCAGAATGCACTGATGCCCCATTGACCTTTCAACTGCCACCTCAAGCTCTTCAGACCACGGCACAAGAGGCTTCAAAGGCAATTGCCAACAGCGCCAAGGACACTGCAAGCACCTCGGGTTGAGTGATGAGACTCGGACGCCAAAACGTTCAGGGTTTCATAGCTGCCGATTTGAAGCATAAAAGGTCTGTGAAACTTTCTTGGTTGAGGGCTCAGGGTTCGTCGCGCGGCCGGTATACGGTAAGGATTCGGCTGTATCGTGGACGTGCGATTATTGAACACATCAGCAGGTCTTGTGCGCTATCTCCGTTGGCATTCTCCTTGGGCCCCCAGGTGCTTTTAACAAGACGGTTCAAACTCACTATCAAAGCCGCCTTCAGTCTTGAAAAGGCTTCATCGATTCATCGCAGCATTCAGCGGTCTCAGGCCAGCTGGCAGACTTAACAGGCCTCACCTTCAGCTAGCTCCAGCTGAGGCCTTTGCCACTCGGAGCTGACGGCGACTTCGCTGCAAAGGCACCATGCCGAATTGCGCAAGTTCAAGCCGCACAACTCAACAGAAGCTTGAACGCCGAAACTTCACATATCCCATGACATCCCATGATTACAAGCTGGACCCACTCTAAATACCTGCTGACACGGGAGCCATTGATGATGTCTTGGGCATCAGACTTCGAAATACTGACGGGCTACCAGCCAGTCTCGAGAACACTGGAACAGAGGTGAGCAGTTCGTCGCGTCGTCAAGCACGCAGACAGACACGGCAACTGCTTGTGTCATGAACCTATGCCTCTAGTTGTTAACTGTTGAGCTGTCCTTGGATATTGGTTGTTGTCAAGCTGTTTTCTTGTTTCTGGAGTACGAGTAAGGCCGAGCTTGGGGAGAAGGCGGCGTGCAGGTTTCGGACCGTGTGGGCCGTCGGCTTCACGAGACACTAGCAACGGACCATCATGGATACTTGGGCGGAAATTTCTCAATCAACAAACTAAGTTTTGCTAAGACCCCAAGCATCACCGCTGCCACAGTTTTGCCTTATGCCCTCACAACTGGTCGCCTGGTTCTGAAAGGCCCCCACCCTTGAGGGGCAAAACGCCGCTGCGTGGTGTTGTAGCCAATGAAGTATAACAACGCTCTGATGAACAATGCTTTTCCAGAGTCGTAGCCGCAGTACTCGTCGAATGCATCCGGTGTAAGCCGGATAAGGTTCGAATGCCAGCCAAGACACTTCATGGGCCGGAAGCCCATCCAATCCTGTTGCTGCCCCTTGCTGCATTAAAGCGGCGCAAGAGCTGGACAGGAGCTGTAGAAAGTGATCTTTTTCCCCAATCTTCTTGTACGCGGAAAGTTTCCCGCACCCTGATCTTGGCCCCAGATCTTGTATTGGCCAGAATGTCGTACACCACCATTCCAGCGTTTCGACGGTGGCGGTTCCCAGCGAAGTTTCTCGGTGACCCGTACTTCTCTCATGGCACCTCCGTGTTCAAGCGCCGAGAGGATCTTGCAGCCCTGAGCAGCTCCTCGTAACGGCCATGCCGTTCCTGAGCTTTCGTTCAGATCGCATAACATAGCATGTCATAATTTTCATAGAGGATGTACTTTGGTATAACCCAACGGAATGAAATATAATAGAACAGATTCATAGGACAGAACATATTTTGAGTACATGATGTGACATAACACTTTGTAATATCATATCATATCATGTCATATCAAATGACATAATTTGATAATCGGGAATGTGCAAGGCCGCAAGGCCCAAAGTACTACCAATCATCGGAGGCTCGCTCACAATCCTCTGCCTTTTCATCAAGTCAATCTGAATGGACTCGTTTGCTGGTGTCCACGACGCAGGAGCCTCACGTGACCAGGATTGATATCTGCTTGATCGCCAGGCTCTGAACACTTGCTCTGAACCCTCCGTTGGTTGTTGCTGTCAGGAGCCGATATTTCTAAAACCCAATTTGCTGGTCGCGCTTCTACATTCATGATGCCCTCTTAGAAGTGTGGCAAGACCACATCAGATTCGGCGTTGGGAATAAACGTTGAAAATCAAGATCGCAAGGTATATCCTGCAAGCACCAAATCATGGAAAGAGCTCAACATGCTCGCCGAACAGACTTGTCCAACTGTGCCGACCAGGCTCCGCAACCGGCGATCGCCAGGGCCCTGGTCCGGCTCTTCGAACCTGTCCATCGCCAGCAAGCGATGCTCAGAGCAATGCTGGAATGTTGGCTCCCTAATTCGCTTCGTGTCTGCGACCCCTCGCAATGATCAGAAGGAATGTGTTGGTGGATGTTGCCAACGACACTGGACAGTAATTGCATGCAATTGCCACTTTGCATACGTAAACACGGACGATCAGAGCTGGCGCACCTCCTCTCCCACGAAGACTTTCGCGAAGCGCAGCTTCGTCTCTGGCCCGTTGATGATCTGGCCGTCTCCCATACCTTAGCAGTACTCCGTGCAAGAAACTATCTCGCTGGTACACTGCATAATCGGCACGACCAGTTACACTAGTTCTGACAGACGCAGCAATTTGCCAACCAGCAACACATGACACGCAAGCCTCTGCGATCAAGACGCCATACGCCTCGAACACGGTATCCATGAGAGCAGCCCGGGATCGTGCCGACCTGTTCCAGCACAGCACCGTGTCAAACAACAGACCCGAATATGGGACTGTCAGGAACCTTCCACGCACCCGGCGTGCGGCGGCAAGGTCTGCAAAGACACCGACTCCGCGCAAAGGAGCAGCCGGCTCGACCTCAGTTCTTAAAGATTCACGGGAGCCAAGGCTTCGCTTGGAGTGATTTTGGTCTAAACTATTCCAGAATGCAGCTCTTTGGCGCAGCTGTTGGGCTGCAAGGCCGTCTCTCCATCGAGACGTGATTGGAACTCGGGCGCCCCCGAAGGACTGCGGCGCGCAGGGAGAAAGAAGCGGGTCCTGCAAAGCCCGGCGAACAAGGACTGCCGAGTCAAGGCTATAGAGCAGGGAGCCAGAACTGAAGAAACGAAGGTTTCCCGTTTTCCCTGCCCGGCCTGGCAAGCCTCTGCCGTGCTTGCAAGTCGGGACTCTCCTGACAAGCCTGGCCTTGTCGGCCCTGTCTCGAACTTCGACAGGACGTGGCCTCGGGTGAAACCAACTGCCACCCCTCGACCCCTGTCTACGGCATGTGCTGTCTACTTTGATGACAACATGTTCAACCGTATCACTGCAGGTACTGTCGGCTTTGCTAGCTGCGGGCCAAGCACCAGCTTCATCTTCTCCCCCGCATCTGAGGGGGGCATCTGGCGTAAGACGTTCTCGACTTTCAAGCTCCTCATCTGCTTGGAAGATGTTTCAAGAATCTGATCCCGACGGCCCCAAAGCCAAAAACGTGCCAAGGAGCTCTTGAAAGGATCGGTCGAGCTCCGCAGCCGAGGGCATGGCAAGGGCCTTCCAGAAAATCGCGACAGCGGCTGAAGTGACTCAGATCTCTCTCTCGCTCTCTCTCGCTCGGCTGAAGACTGAAGCTCCTGGAGCGGAGGGGCCGGGTCCGACATTCCCCAAAGAAACAGATCATCCAGCACGCCGGCGCTGGCAATTCGCGACGCCATGTTGGCCATGAAAGCGTCGAGGTGGACTCGTGACACAAGAACCGGCTCAATACTGACGATCCGTTTGTCAACTTTTGTCAGTCGTGAAAGATGTAACGATAAGCGTGACAAGGACTGGGATCTCCGTCAGAAGCTGCTCTGCAGTACCAGGCTTCTGGGCCAGTGCGCTGCCGTGCTGGAGCGTTCAGCTTCCTCGCTGGAGGGCCGGGCAGTAGGCTGTTGGTCAATTTGGCGCTCCAGAGTCTTCTTTTCCCGCTCAGACAGCGGATGACGCCTTTCCTGGGCTGGGCCGCGGCGGAACTCATCGGCGCCCTTAGCTGCAGGCTCAGGCATCCAGGGTTCCTTCAAGTCCTCCTCCCTTTATGAAGCACGCACGCACTAATAAGGAGATGAGTTTACAAGGCAGCATATGCCTTGCGGGATAACAGATACTACAGACCATCTCACGCAAGCCGGATCTGAGGGCCAGGCTGCCCTTCTTGCCCTTGGACTTCTGCTGATGCATCTTCCTATAGTGGCAGGTCGCGAAGAATGCTCGCAAGGGGCCCAGCTCAGGAACCCGCAATCTCTCTGTGCACAAGCTTGCAGGGTCCTCTTCACAGCTCGTTCGGAGGTGCCTTCGTCCTTCCGGCAGCTTTCCCCACGCATACGAACAACAAAACACGTGTGCCTTTGGGTGTAGCATGTGTAGCAAGGCTGTATTGAAGACTCGAAACGGAGCGGTACAGCCAACATACGCACCAGACGCATCTGAAGGTGCGTGTGCAATTTTATCTGCCAGTAAAGTCAAGCGCAAACCAAGAACCTCACAGAGCCAGCAATGGATGCTCCTGCTCTCTGAGCTCAAGCTCAGTGCTTCGGAGCGCCTTCAGCACAGACATCCCCCAAAAAAGAGAAGCTGCTAGAAAACCCTAACCCCCCAGGTACCTACTATATAGTGCACCTGGGGGTTAGGGAAAAGCTGGAGACTGTTAGCCTCGAGCACGCGCTCGTGGCTGGCTTTCACCTTCGTGTCCACCAGCTCGGTGAATTCCTGTGGCAGGCGATCGGCGAAGCAGATTCGAAGTCCTACGCGGGCTTGACACAACCTGGTCAACTCACAGTTGCACCCAATCCACGTACACATACACACTGACGATGTCCTCCAGCTTCTTGCCAAGGAAATGCTCAACTCGCTGGAAGAGCTCCACATCATACTGGGTGACCTGAGCCAGGATTTGCCACTTGTAGGGACTGCCACGCAAGGTTCACCCTGCGGCTCTTCGTCTCACTGTGTCTCACTGTGTTGCGTGCTATCGTGACAGCTCGTCCGCTTCTTCCGGCCCTCGCCGTTCGTCCAACTCTGTGAATGTAGTCCTGAGAGCATCCGCTGAGATCACACTCGGCGCTGAGAAGTCCACAAAGCCCACTCCTTGGAGTTTTTGGGAATGTCGTAATTCACCACCTTAGAGCAAAGCTCTGTGCGGAAACGTGGGCGACACATTGAAAGGGAGTAAGCTTGCGGCCAAATCTACTGACGGAACATCTAATCCTCGCGAGGCCACGTCCGTGCACACCAGGATCCTTTGCTCTTTGGCCTGCAGGCCGGGGAATGGCAACCAAATCAATCGGACAGCAGCCTCTGCACGGAGGTGAAAAAACGAACGCTTCTTGCGAGCGTGCATGCAGAGAGCACGAGTGGGCACCACACCCTGCCTTGAATCCGCTGAGTGCCCCAAGTCTCTGCGCCTGCCGGATGTGCAGGATATGACCACTTTCTCAGCTTACCCGACTCTATGCCTGGCTCATTTGTCCATGGAGGCAGATGGACTTCATACCCATGTGCCTCACGTCACTGTTCCGAATTTCAGCATCAGCCTAGCTCCCGGCAGGGGCGCCTCAAGAAAACGGAAAGCCTTTGTGCTCCAAGGCATGTGTCTGTAAAGACCATGACCTGGCACTGCTTGGGAGCTCACACCCCTTGCCCCTTTTGCTTTTGGAGTGGGGAAGCTTTATTAAGATCGTAAGCCTTCCTGATCGCCCCGGAGACGTCCCGCTCCGGCACCCTGCTTATCAGCGATCGAAACAGGCCCGCGAGGCCGCATAGTGGATAAAGTGAGCCACCAAGGCTGCAAAGTAGGTGTGCTTAAACCTTCGTGGCACGGACTTCGGTGCTTTGGAACCTTTTTCAGAGTCTTAGCACTTTCCGGCTGCTTAGCTCGGCACTTAAATGGGATCAGCATGAAGTTCTGAACCAGCCCGGCCTGACATTCCAGCGGCTTGTATGAACACGAAACTTCATCATGCAACCTGATGCTGGCTCCCTTCATTCTAGTCATTTTGCTACGGGGGCAGCTTCCAGCACCGTCTGCCAGACTCCCGGCACTGCAATGAAGCAAAAGGGTCCGGCCGCTGTATCACATTTGGAGCTCACCTCCACCTGCCAGCTGCAACTGTGCAGGACTCTGCCGTTGATCCCAGCCAGGCCGGTCCGGGCTGCCTTCACCGGCTTCTTCAAGCTTGCGCGCTGCAACTTGGAGACCTGCCGAGCAGCCGCTTCTCCCACGTTCCCCGCGCCGTGCCCCGCAGCGATGACCCCCTACCTTTGAGGTCATCGTGGCCGAGAAGAGAAAGGTGTTCCGGTCTCTGGGTACAACCTGCCGGTGCACGAGCACGTGGTCAGCAGATAGGACAGCAACAAAGCTTGACTGCGACATCATGCTCACAGGCGCTTTCGTTTCCGAGCTGTTCCGCCGACTTGGTCGAGCAGCAGCCTCACCCTCATTTCCTCTGGTTAGCTTCCTAGAATGTTGGGTAAGGACAACCACATGTTCGGGGCAAGAGTGCTTGTGGAGGGGCCCGCTTTCAACTTTGTTGGATGGGCGAAAATCAATCCATCGGAAGCAGCAGTGCTGGACGCACGCCTCCTTGAGAAAACTGTGGAAAATCAAGAGTTGAAAATCATGCACATAACTGAAGACGTTCTCCACGCGGCTCCTGGAGTACAAAGCCTTCGGCACGGCCATCATTGGGCCTGCAGTGAAGTCTGTCTCCTGTCAGCCGCGGCTTCCCGGGCCCCTCTCCGTCACTGGTAGCGGGGGATGAGCGGACTCGCAAGGCTGGCCACAGCATCGAGCCAACTCCCTTCGGCCTCCGCATCCTCCCGCGCCTCCTCGCGAAGCACAAAAGGTTGAGGAAGGGCTGGAGTTCGGAGATCGGGATCGGTTTTTGGTGTCACGGCCTCGTGCGCTTCCCGGAACTTCATGGTTCTGCTTGGAATCCAACCACCCATGAAGCCATCAAAGTAATACCATCGACCTGGGGCATAGAGGGTGTCCGGTGCACGAGATGTCAGAACTAGCGCAGAATGCAAGAGGCTTGACATCAGAATGCCGCGTACGTCACAAGAAGGCGAAAAGCTATCAAGATTGAGAGCCCGACTCGCATCCTCAGCTGTCCGATCGCGTATCGTCCACATGTGTTCTTCTCGTGTGTTTCATTCGATCAATTTACGTTCATGCGCGATTTGGGGGCAATGATGTGAAGCTCATTCAAGATGCCTCTATCAACCATGTGCGTCATGACGATATGGACTGTCAATCACAGCATGCTGTCCAAAACTGCAGACTACGAGCATAATCTCCATTTGCGTACCTGGAAAGTTGTTAAACATTGGATGAAAACGAGAGTCTAGAAGCCAAGAAGCGCAGACAGGTATGACACTATGCAAGTTTAGCATACTTGCTCGTAGCTTGGTTCGTCATAGGGTTTTCCTAGAGGTAAGGGCCTCATTAATCGTGCCCAACCCTGCTGCTTCGTGACTCTATATCTTTGTGCTACCTCGGTTGGCTTAGCTGTTTAGCTTTGCACATGACTGCGTGTATTGATCTTTTCCTGTGGTAGATCCGCTATGGATGACAATCATCGGTGCCCGGGCAACTAAGGAACGGAAAACACATATTCGCGTGTTCGTGCATGCATGTACACGTGTACACATGTACGAACGCATGGGTGCATGGAGCATGGGTACACGCGTGCGGCATGGAGCTACTGCTCTATGTATATGATGTAGCTCATCCATATTAGATGGACCTAGCCAAGTCAGGTTGCTTCGTCCACCCGAAAAAAATTAGTCAAGCTTGGCGAGTTGGCCAGAAATCCGTGCGACCTGGCAGCTCCGGGGGTGTCGACGCCAGCCTCGCTGAAGATTAGAGGAACTGCTTCCTGGCCCAAGCCATGCGCGACGCCACCAGAGTTCACGATCCACCTGCACTCTCCACGCAATAGTCCTAGCTTCAGGATGGGAGTGCTCGGAACTATCACCGCTGTGCACAAGCCAAGCGGCGTCTGGTTCGTGCTGGAGTACCACAGCACAAACCTGGAGGCAGCTCATGCTACAAGTAGGTCTTCTTCATCACCTCCAGAACGTGCCAGCCTGTGCATCTCGTCGCCCTGCACGTGTGCTACATAGGACGGAGCGCCGTTTACAGCAGCATCCGCTACGAAGGGAACGCCTCGCCGCAAGGGTTGCACAGATTGGGAGCATGCTTCGGATGTATTCTCCAACCATTCTCTGAGCCGGCAGAATACCTTCACTTTCGTCGCTGAATTCGCTCAGACGCTTGGACCGAGCAGCCTGAAAGGAAACTCAGCTCTTCCACCGCCCCCGACAGCTCGATGGCCTCTCGTGCCCTCAGATCCGAGACGAGCCGAGCAAGCAAGGCTCTCCTCCAAAAACGCCGAGTATTTCTTGACCGAACATACGCAGAGCGGAAGTCTCTGCACTCTCTGCCAGGCTGCTGGATGGCAGGCTCCAAGAAGTGGTCCTCAGACCTCGAGCCAGGGAAGAGTTCACCCACGCACACACATACGCCAACCTTGACCTAAACACAAGAAGCCTGTCGGGGCATGGCTGAGTCGGGGAGGTTTATGGCTCACAAAGCGCAGCACAGCAGCAGGGCATCGCCGCCCCCTCGCAGCGCTGGCGCCTAAAGAAAGGCTGAAGGCCGCTTGCATGCTGCCGACGGATTGCTGGACCACGAGTCCCTCTGCATGTGCATAGTGAACAGCCTGCAGGCTCTTGCCCTTGAAGTGGACACCGGCCTCAGCCTGCAGAGACATCGGACACACCCGGAGGGCGGGGGGGGGGGGGGGGGG